TTTTAAACAAGAAAAGGACGACCTTACAAAGCAATGAATAGCGTTGTATTCAAAAGCGTAGCAAATAGGAAAGCGATAGTTGTAATTGATTATTAGGTAATAGTAGAAAGGAATCAGACTTTACTTTGTAAGGTAAAAATTGCGCGAGGCGGCCGCCTTATCTTAGCTGCGGCTGCCTTATCACCTCGTGAATTCACTAGCGGCCGCGCTAAGATGTTTTAAAAATATAATGTACGAGTTCACTTTTAATCTTAACACCTTTATTCTACTACCTTTGATTTTACCTTAAACAATTACTTTCAACGTTTAGCTTCTTTATAATACTATTCAATATAGCCGCTTATCAGCTTGATTCGATAGAAGGTATTATTGCAAATACAGATCAGCTTGATTTGATAGAAGGGATTGAAAAATCTGTAATAAGAATCATTTTCTTATTTACTAATCTATTTACTAATTAAAAACGTCTTTCTTAGAATGCGGCCGATACGACGGCAATCGTAGCGGCAAGCAATCCGGTGCTAGGAAACCTTGGCAAGCGCAAAGTAAGTATCTTTTTTACGTAGTATTCTAACCTTTATTAATTTATTAATTTTTCTTAAAGAAGAAGGTCAAAGAGAAGCTAATTATTAACCAATCCTTATACGATAAGGGCTAATGCTCGTATAGCAAAGCTGAAACAAGATCCTTAAGCAGATGAGCTTCGAAAAGTTAAAAGACGAGATCAAGCGGCCGCTAATCAGCTTTCTGCAATTTAGAAACAAACCCTAGAATATTCTCAAGCATTAAAAGCTAAAAGGAAAACTCGATAGGCCGAAATGCGAAAGAATCTTATAAATGAACGGTACTTTTTCTTTTCTTTGATTTACTAAGCAATTTACTAATCGATTTTAGAAAGAATCGAGGTATTTACGCGGATAATCTTATTATGCAAGCCGCTTTTTTTACAATTAGATTCAATGATGGAAAATACTTGAATAGCGATTAGGTTAATAAAGCATTTAATTCAAACGAAGAGGTTTATAAAGAATTTAATTTGCGAAAAGACGAAGAAGAAAATAATAATATACTTCGCGATGGATACGTCTCGATTACCGATGAAAAGATAGAGAAGGTCACTCGGCAATTAGCACGTTAGCACGCATGAGTAAGCATTTATTTTATTTAAATATTTATATTTTGCTAATAATATAAAGTCACGCTATATGATGACCGTTTAGCAATTTCGTCGCTATTAGCAAAGTGTAGCGCGGTCTTTGATAAAGAAGTGCTGAGCTGTTAATTTAAAGAGTAAGGAAGCTTTCTTTGAATTGATAGCTTAGGACTTGGCAAGCACGGTTTCAAAACGAACTAAGTAAGAATTTATTTTATTATGCTTTTAATCAACTGAACTAATATTATAACTTTTAGTCTTTATCCAATCAAGCTTCTTTACGTCTACTTTTCCTTTGATGAAAAGAAGTATTAGCGAGTTAAAATTAGAGTAAATACCGATGAAATTGAATACGAATTGCCGAGTCTAGCCGCTTGGTGGAATATGAAAGGATTCGAAAAGAATGTTGAATTTGAAAAAGCTAATTGCGATCTTATTTTATTTCAACGCGTTATGTAATTGATTTGGAAAAAAGACGAGCTAGCTCCGGAGTTGTTTTACGGCGTTAAGGATAGCGATACGGAATTGAGATCATTCTTAAACTCAATGCTTAAGTTTATGTAGAATAGAATTCACGATTAATTACAAATTTTGTATTCTATAAAAATACTTCTATTTATTTTATTTATTAATTATATTTATTAATAATACTTATTAATTATATTTACTTATTATATTTACTAATTATATTTATTAATCATATTTACTAATCATATTTACTAATCATATTTATTAATTATATTTACTAATCACATTTACTAATCGTCGGTTTCTTGTGTAACGATACGCTAGGTCTTGTGACGACACGCTAAGTCTCTTGGACGCACCTTACATGCGCTAAGCTACTTCTTTCTTTTTTTCCTTCGCATTCTTCGTATTCTTTTATTCCTCGCTTTTGACTTATGAACTATGGTTTACGAGTCTTTGGCGCTTTTACTTTCGTGTATATAGACCTTAGCTACTTTCGACCTTTACACTTAGTAATTGTTGATTCTAAGTTATTACTTTGAGATTCTCTTAAGCTTTTATGTGAACCCCGCGCTCCCGTGAGTTCTTTTAAGTAATCGCTTAAAGTCGTTACAAGTCTTTTAGACGCACTTTTATATGCGCTAAGCTACTTCTTTTATTTTTTCTTTCGTATTTTTCGTATTCTTTTATTCCTCGCTTTTGACTTATAAACTATGGTTCACGAGTCCTTAGCGCTTCTACCTTCGTATATATAGACCTTAGCTACTTTCGACCTTTACACTCGGTAATTGTTGATTTTAAATTATTACTTTGAGATTCTCTTGAGCTTTTATATAAACCCTCGCGCTCTCGTAAGTTCTTTTAAGTAATCGCTTAAGGTCGTCACATCTTGAAGTTTTGAATAAAAAGAATTAACCGACTTGCTGTATTTAAAATCGATATAAATATATTAATAAATTATTTTAATATTTAAATTTATGAATTATATTTAAAGTTAATTATATATATATTTTATTTAATATAATAACGATTTTAAAACTATTTATATAAACTTATCTATTAATTTATAATAATGAAATTCAAAAGGCCTTCGCAAGCTATCGAATTTATTACTTTCTTTTCTTGCGATACTTTTTTTTTGTATATAAAAAGTCTTTTGCCCGCTAATAATACTAATTCTATGATATCCGTCGTTATGTTCGTTTTTACTGATCTATTCAATAGATAGCTTAATTTTATAGCCGTTATTTAAAAACCGCTTAACTCGATATTCGTCTATTTTAATTAACTAACCACGATTACGCTCTTTTTCGTTTAGCATTTCTACTGCATATCGAGCGTTTCGACCGTTCGTTCGTCTAATAGAAAAGGAATAATAAGTTTTATTATCTACTTCGGTAAGGATCGAGTTTGGTTGGTTTACAATCCTTAATAAATTAATAACTTAATTAATATATAGATAATAAAACGGCACTTATAAATAAATCGGCAAGCGTCCGTTAAAATATGAATTTCTTTTATTTATTCTTTAGCTATAATAGATATTCGAGCTTGTAGATATAATTATAAGCTAATACGATTATAAAGTGTTCTATCGTTTTATATAATAAATTTTTAATTAAATGCTTTTATTTTTAATATTTATCAGATTATATTAATTTTATTTACCGTATAGCAGCAGCCGAAAAGAAAGCTGCAAAGATTATATTTAAATTAAGATTTCTATAAGCACCTTATCCTTGTATACTAATTAAAC